AACTTTATAATCTGAGGACTTCTAAAGGATGATTTGGGAGCATTATCTTCTTACTAGTTACTGGCTTTGCAATAAATTACTTCTGGGCAGAAGGCAAATTGAACTAAATGTTACAAGCTCTCCAATTCTACACAGTAGAGAAAAGCTTTAAGTGAAGGAAGTTGAGAATTCATTGTTCAGTTGCTTGGGGAACTTGTCTCCAGTTGGCATATTTGAATCGTTAATATTGACTTTGTAGCAACTTCACAAAGCACATGTGTATTTTGTTACCTTAAAATAAAGCATCTCTTTTTCTTTATGGGGCAAATTTTTACTTTAGATTTCAAAGATAGACTGAGATAAGGGAAATAGTGAGGCAGAACTTAATCAAATTTAGAATGTTAATCTCTGGAAAAAAGAAAAATGAGTGATTTCTTAACTTGAAGCATATATTCTAGTGCACAGTGAACACATAATAATTTACAAAGAGGCTCTGAGTGGAAGAGAGTACCAGTGTGGTTGATGAAGCTACATAAAGGGTAGACTTCAGAATCAGAAAGAGCCTCAAGTAAAGATGCATTTTAAAATCAAGCATCAAGACCAATGCTCACTAAGATAAAAGGAATAATGCAAGAAAAATCCTAGGTAGCAATGTGTGGAATTCCTTGATCTGCAAAGACAGAGAGACAGTGTAGAAGAAAACAAAACAAAACAACAAAACCCCCCATTTTCTTCTGTTGCTATGACAAAAGCAACTTAAGAGAGGAAAGGTATATTTTGACTTAGAGCTCCAGGACACAATCTCACGGAGGTAAACTCAGGACTGCAGGAGTTGAGGGGGCTTATTCCACTGTCGTATGATGTCACCCATGTTGGGAGGATTTTTTTCACCTTAATTAACCTAACCAACCTAATCCCTCATAGGCATGCCCCATGGTGCATGTGTCATGAGAACTTTTATCTCATCAACTGATACTCTCCGTTGAAGACACTATAGGCTATATACCCGAATGCACCTAAATCATCATTCTACACACACTCTTTCACGACCACAGTATTTTAAGCACAATAGCAAAGTTATAGCCTCAAAAGATGTCCTTCACCAGATAGATGGAAAAGGAAAAATGTGGTAATTGTGCACGGTAGAGTTTTATTAAGCCAAAACTAGTGAAATCACGTGATTTGAAGCAAAATATATGCAAGTGGAGAAAATCAAATAAAGCAAAATAATCCAGACTGAGAAAGACAAATATCGCACTCTTTCTAGTACAATATGTGCGCATACATGCACATACATTATACATGTGTGGGAGACTGAAAGAGAAACAGAAATAGTAGGAAGGAGGAAAAGTCAGAGAAATGGGTTAATCAATATCAAGCTATACGATTGTCTTTGTTAGGGTTTTACTGCTGTGTACAGACACTATGACCATGGCAACTCTTAAAAGGAAAACATTTTATCGGAGCTGTCTTACAGGTTCACAGGTTCAGTCCATTATCATTAAGGTGGGAACATGGCAGCATCCAGGTAGTCATAGTGCAGGAGGAGCTGAGGGTTCTATATCTTTGTCTGAAAGCTGCTAGCAGAAGAGTGGCTTCCAGGCAGCTAGCGTGAAGGTCTTAAGCCCACTCTCACAGTGACACACCAACTTCAACAAGGCCACACCTCCTCCAATAGGGCCACGCCTCTTAATACTGCTACTCCCTGGCTCAAGCGTGTACAAGCCATTACAATGATAATAAAAATAATAAATGACCAGAAGCAAGACACCATGGACACTACACACAGAGCTAGAGCCTTCTGTTATTCCACATAGATGGAGTGTTGCTACGAGATCTGAGAGGGAAGAGTCTACCTCTTGTTTCTGTACCTCTCACAAGTCCCTTTCCTTAAACCAGCTTTCTCCACTATCCTAGAGCATTCCAATATATTTAGAAGCTAAAACCCTTGTCCAAGTAAAAGAGCTATTTTTCATAATGTGAATGTTTAGAAGGAAGAAAATGAGTAATTACGCCCTGTCTTATATAACTGTTCTACTTGGATGAGTGCAAAGAGAAGTTTTTATAAGACAATCTCTGAGGCCTTAACCAACAAGCAGGATGTAGGGTCATCAAAGTGACTGACAGTCTCCTGTTTATGAGCCTTGTAAGTCAGTTCCTGTATAAATATGGTCCCCAGCTTCTACTCACTAAAGGAATGCCATCTTATGGAATTTTACATGACCAACAAAAAAAGGAGCCTAAAGGAAGAAAACTAGAAAGATAACTGCTTTTTTCACTTAAAATAAACATATAGAAATTAATAAAGGCAAGAAATAGAAAATGTATGAGTGTACAGAGTAAGAAGAGAAAGAAAGTTGAAAAGAAAAGTTATGTCCTCCATCCAAATTACTGTAAATAAGATTTGACTGGGAAAGACCCTCTCAGGATCTGGGCTACAGACAGACAGAGGGAGATTGGCACGATCAATAAGACATGTAATATGCTGATCCCTCTATATAGGAACAGCTCCAAAATTGTCTGAGACATGAATATCTATATATAGTCAGTATATCTTATTGGCTACAAAATATTTAAGACTTCTCTTAAATGGCATGGATAAAAAAATATATTACAATTTGATTACAATCCAAACTAACTTATAAGAGAGGCAGATGTCTTTCACCTGCTCAAACAAAAGACAAAAATCTCCATGAACTGAGCTGGGCACCTTGCACACTCTACACATTGTTGTTCCGCATGGTTAGAGTGAGAATGTGGAGAAACAGGAACACTCCTCCATTGCTGATGGGATTGCAAACTGATACAACCACTCTGGAAATCAATCTGGATGTTCCTCAGAAAATTGGAAAGAGATCTACCTGAAGACCCAGCTATACCACTCTTGAGCATATACCCAAAAACTGCACCACTATATCACGGGGACATGTGTTCCACTATTTTAATAACAGCCTTATCTGTGATAGCCAGAAGCTGGAAACAAACCAGATGTCCCACAGTGGAATAATGGATACAGAAAATGTGGTTCATTTACAAAATGGAATACTGTTCAGCTGTTAAGAATAATACCTGAGTATATTAATTTTATTAATTGTTAACATATTAATTAATAATATATTACCATGTTTGTAGAAGATTAAGTACACAACCTCCTTATTTTTGGATTACATTGTGACTGACAAATCTTTGGAATTTTTTAAATAGGCTTCCTCTGCCTTCAAGGTTTCCCCTCAATAGTGCTTAGTTCCACCGTAGAATGCTTAGATGTGATCTTCAGAGTCAACTTCTTTCTGAAATCCTTCATTCTCTCTCTACTACTACTGTGTGCACTACTCCAGTCTAGAACCACTGCTCAATTGGTGATGCATTTGATAACATTCCACACCTGTGAGACGCGCTGTTGCTTTCCCTTCTGCTACCTTGCTCTGCATTTGAGTATCGTATTGATGCAACTAAAGGCCAGTTGCTGGGGAATTTTAATAGTGTTCACTTCATTGTAATTTCCACTTCTTTACTTACACCCCCCCACCAATTCTTGCATACCATCAGCTTCTTAATAGATCACTTGACATACAAGCTACTGGTGTTTTAAATACTTATATGATAAGCCCAGTGTCTAGGCCATTTAATGGGTTAGGTGACGGGTTGGTTTAGCTCTGGAAAATAGGAATGAGTCTTCCTGTTTATTTGTAGATTTGTTGGTTTTCCAAAAGAGAGGTATATCTCCCTAGCCAATGCCACCCCACAGTAATCAAGAGGCATGGCCAGTTATCCAGCTCTCACACCCTTGGTGCCAACTCACCTGCAACACCCACACTCAGGGCCAGGTCTATCCTGCTGTCCAGGCAAGATGTAAGGGCACTCTCCCATAAATTGAAGCTGGTAAAGGACAGGGATAGTTCTCCCACTTTCATGACCCTGGGACCAACTCTCCTGTCTGAAATAGATAAAGAGGGATGAGGAGAGAGAAGGGAGGAGGGCATCGCTTCCCTGTCTGCTCCACCATACAGTAGAGAAGGGGCAGGGCAGGCTCTCCTGTGCTCATGTCATCAGGGCTGGCTCACCTACAACTCCAGTCCCCAAGGCCAGCTCTAATTTACTGCCCAAGCAAGGTCCAGGGCCCTCTCTCCCATGTGTTGCAGCCTGTGAGGGGCAGGGACAGCCCTCCTGCTATTATGACAACACAGCCAGCTCCTGCCTGCTGTAGATAGCAGGGGGCAGAGGTTAGGGGAGGACATCTCTCCCTTGTCCAGGCTGCTGTGTGAAAAACAAGTTGCCTGACTAGAGCTCCCATGTTCTCATGCCAAAGACCAGCTCTTCCAAGATACCCTGGCAAAGCCTGGAGCCAATTCTCCACAGTCTTCAGACATCAATATGTCCCCAAGAGGCAGCCTGATCAGGGATATGTGCCTGGCTATTGATGGTAACAGACCCCTGCTGCCGTAGAACAGACTCAGACATGCCAGCACCAGCCAGGACCCCACAGTGGTCCCAGGCGACATCACCAGCCCCTCACATCAGGCTGTCCCTCACCAACCTCAAGTCTCCAGCCTGCTTCTCTTCATTGTGCTCACATTCTCTTACTTTTCTTTCTCTTCCATTTCTCTACCATTTAGTTGCTTCTCTCCATGGTACCCAGGGTCTCTTGAGTGTCTTGGGTTATCTCAGGAGTGCTCTCAGGAGTGCTATGTCCCAGTCATGCATTATGGAGCCAGTCAGGGGTCATCTCAGTTGTAGTTTTCCCCCACACAGGCCTGCCCATCACCAGACTGGTGGTCATCTCTGATTAGCTCCCTGTCTGGGCCCCGTGGTCCCTGAATGGTGATCCTCTGGGACTTGTTCCTCACCAGGTCTGCCTGAGTGGCCCCTTGAAAAAGATGTCTGCCTTGGGCTTATTCCCTCCTAGACCCAAGGTCCCAGGTGGGGTTCTTCTAGTTTCCAGCTTGCTCCCTATCCTGGGAGCCCATCGGAGCCTGCCTGGGGCCAGACTGGTGGTAGCCTCAGTCTCACTGTTTTCAGAAATTGTTAGGCTACTAATCATTCAGATATTCACAGGTCAGAATACTGAGCATAGACATTGCCTCTCTCCTCTCTGCTACATACTGATAATTATGTGACACAGAATCCACACCCACAAATCCTCTAGGGGTAGAGCAGACATTTTATTATCATTATCATCATCATCATTTTTATTAAATTATTTTATTTATTTACATTCCAAATGTTGCTCCCTTCCTGGTGCCCCCTCCCAGAGTTCTTCACCCCTTCCTCCCTCCTCTGCGATTCTGAGAGAATGCTCCCCCACCAACTCACCCATCCCTACCTCACCCCTGCCAGCATTCCCCTTCCCTGGGGCATCAAGTTTCTACAGGATTAGACACATTGTCTCCCACTGAGGCCAGACAAGGCAATTCTCTGCTACATATGTGCTGGCGGCCACGGACCAGTCCATGTACACTCTTTGGTTGGTGGCTTAGTCTCTGGGAGCTCCCGGGGTTCAGACTATTTGATACTGTTGTTCTTCCTATGGGGTTGCAATCCCCTTCCTCTCCTTCAGTCCTTCCCTTAACTCTTCCACTTGGGGTCCCAGACCTCAGTCCAATGGTTGGCTGTAAGTATCTACATCTGTCTCATTCAGCTGCTGGTAGAGCCTCTCAGAGGGACAGCCATACTAGGATCCTGCTTGCAAGCACACACAGCATGGCATCAGTAATAGTATCAGGGTTTGGTGGCCAGAGCAAATATTCTTAACAGAGGTCACTCACTGTGCTTTTGTACCTTGACTAGAAGTTAGCTTGCTACTAATACCTGATAGATGGAGATCTCCAAACTGGTAATACAGACTCTAACCAGGTCAGACCTTATGAAGATCCCAGTGTGAAGCATTGTGATTAACATTGCGGCATCCAAAATTTCCCTTATATCAGAGAGAAGACAGTTGGGAGGGAATTTTCTTTATCTCTGGCATCAGGTCTTCTTTTTCATTGACTCCAGAATCTTCTGGCAAGCTGTACTTCTGGCCTTTCTCCACTACAGGTAACTTTTGCTTCTACTGATGCTTTGTCAGGAAGTTTTTTTGGGACAGGGGGCCAATGGATATCCAGCCTCCTTTCTGTGAAGATAGCTTCTGCTTAGAAGAGAACAACATATTGAGAAGTGGTGAGTTTAGTGTCCCTACTTAGCAAAAGGCAAGTGCTTTCTTTCAGTCCTATTCCTCTACATTTCCTGATAAACCTTAGTGGGGAAGAGGTAACGGCTGTGTCTCAGGCTGATTTTTCTGCATTTCTCTGATAAGCATTCAGCTGAAGCCTGTGTAATAAGCTCAGTGGTATCTAAATCCTCAGGCTTCTACCAATATGACAGCAAAATCAGATAAATTTACAAGAAACAACCAAAAAAAATCGACCACAGATCCATTTCTCTAATGAGCACAGATGACAATATTATAAACAAAATATCTACCAAACAAATTTAAGAACATACTAAGAAGATTATGATCACAACAACTTTTGTTTCATACCTGTGATACAAGAGTATATTGGTATAAACTAAGCAGTAAGATAATATACTATATAATATACCAAGGAGCAGAAATCACATGATCATTTTGATAGATATAGAAAAGAGATTTGCCAGTATTGAACATATCTTCATGATAGAAGTCTGGCAGAAATTAGAAATAGATGAAACATACATCAACATGATAAAGACTATATATAATAAACATATACCTTACTTCATACTAAATGGGAGAAAGTTCACGAGACCATGAAGGCTAGAATAATACAAAGGTAGCCACTGTCAATACTCATTAAATTAAAATTTTGGATGACACAAAGTGAAATTTCAGATGCATTATTCATAACTCATTTTTGGAGTAACAAATTCCACAGAAGTTCCAGACTTACCTGGCACAGAAGGACCTGCTATTATAATCACTGTATCTAACTCTCGGTCCCTGTGTTGGCAAGTCAGGTAAGTGGGGCTGACGTCATCATTACAGATACCACGTGTCCTCTCTTAGGCTCTATGCTAATCACCTATCAGTCACATCCTCCAAATGATGTAAACAATATTTGTATTGCTTTCTCCATATTAAAGGCTGTATATGTATCAGGATGGTTACAGCTCACTTCCCCAATAAGCATTCAGTTGAAGCCTACATAATGAGCTCTTTAAAAACTTTAAAGAAATGAAGGTTTGAGAAGCCTTCTTTTCTATCTGTTATCACATAATCCATATACTTTCCAGAACTGGATTTTGGATTCTTGCTTCTAAGTCCAAGCTACAACCAAATACTCCACTTAGGAAGACTCAGATCCATCATAGGTTTGTGCACACAACATTTCCTTTGCAGTTCCAAATAATTTTATGAAGTTGACAGGTCTTTATCCAAAGAGTGTGTACATGCTAAAATTTTGGCAGATAACAGTTTTTAGGATAGCTATAATATATTTTTATTTGCCTCCATAATGTCTTCATTCATTTGAGATTATTTTAGTATTTCTTTACTTTTCACAACCACACAACTCCTTATGAAGACTTTACTGTATGTCAAAAGTTAGATAAGGCTTTCGTTTCACCACAATAGAATTTTATAGATCATATTAGACAAATGGCTGAGTTACTAAATCTACTGCTCAAGTACAGGGCCTGTGGTTGTTTAGCAGTACCCTCATGGTGATTCTCCACCACTCATGACTCTACTTCCAGGGATCTGAAACATTCCTCTCACCTACCCAGACACTGGGTATACATGTGGTATGGCAGATAATATTTCAAAAGTGCCTTTCAAGAATAGTGACATTCCTTTCTTCTGAAAGGAATTCATATGGTTAATTTTAAAGTTTCAGATGAAAATCATTCACATAGATATGATTTAAATTGAGATAGCTAAGTCTTCTAGGTTACAAACTTGTTCATGAGATTTCCTATTAGTCTTTATCAGTATTCCTTTTCTCATTCTATTGCAATGGCAATTACACATACTCATTAATCCCAGAATACTACGGAACATTTCAAATTTACTAAGATAGAATCTACAAGTATCAACTGGATAATTAAATTGATCATTTATGTTCATAAGTGGAAAATGAAGAGTTAGTTGGAATTTTGGGAAAGCTATCACTACACTAACATATTTCTATTTGTGTATCAATTGCCATAAAAATCACACATATATTTGAGCTTAAATTGTCCTTCACGTTTCAATGTCAACAGGAAACAATTCATGGATGACTTAAAATGCAGTGGGGGCTGAGAACTTCTCTCCCACGTACTGGCCTTTCCTTGTATCTCCATCTTATACATCTAAGTCACTTTCACTGAAATCACATTTCTTCTAAATCAAGCACAGACATGCCGATATTTTCCCTTGTTTCTCTGTGGTATATGATAGAGCTATGACAGATGCTTTTAAAAAACTTGTTGAGGCCAAACTCCTCTGAACTGCAAAATGCAGCTGTGGATTTGATTGTGTTAACACAGACAGGAGATCTCTCCATGAGCATTGGGTAGTAATGAGCTATTAGATACAGAGTCAGACAAAATAACTAAATGATCGACCCAATGAATAAAATATGTAGTGTGTTGTCATAACCATTGGGAAGGAAATGTGTCTAGGTCATAATTGTTCACAAATGGTCTGCATGGTTATTCTGAAGTGTCCACAGCAATTTCCCTAGAAATTTCCATTAGATGAGAGAGTGTTGGGGTGAGTGAAAGAGTTTTGCTCTGTTACTGACAATGACACTAAGAACATTTTGTGCAATTGCCCACTCCATGAAGCCATAGGCCCGATGCTAATATACTGAAGTCTAAAATAATGCATGATTACACATTCACTAGATTTCGACAAATCATATACCACAGGATGTATTCTGATTTGCATTTCCTCCATCATTGTATAGGTACACCCCTATTCAGAGCCTTCACATGATGCTTTTAATTATAAGCTTTTAATTGTCTGACAATCTGGTATGTGTAGGATAAAATTTCCTTATAAGCTTTACATCTCACTAAATATCTATTCACCTTTATAGGTTCTCTGTGTATTCAAACTCTCTCTACAAATTGTGTGCTCATTTACATTTCGTGTTCTGTTTATTTTCTTATATGTCTTGACTGATATTTATGTCTTTTTATCTTATAACTGTTTTTTTTCTAATTGATTTGGTATTTCACAAACACCTTTGACACAAATGTTCTCTGTCTTTTCCATTATGATGCTAGTAGGTAGTTTCTCCGTAATGAATAGGAAGAGATTGTATCAGTTGGATTCAGCTGCCATAGAAAAATAACACGAATCGCCTACTCTATAGATAGCCAAAACTCATATTTTCAATGTGAGGCCTAGAAATTTCAAGGTCAAATAAACAGTAAAATTGTGTTGTCTACTTCTACTGAGGATCTGCTGCACACTCCACAGTCTCTAACTATGTCTTCACCTGACTAAAGTGTCAAGGTTTGCTGTGGTCCCCATATGAACTCCATCCCAGTTATGAAACTCCATGCTCACAACCTAGTTCAGAGGTTATCAACCTTTCCTAGTGATGCAACCCTTTAATATAGTTCCTCACATTATGGTGACCTCCAACCATAAAATTATTTTTGTTTCTACTTCATAACTGTAATGTTCCCACTGTTATGAATCATAACGTAAATATATGATATGCAGATACCTGATATTTGATTCCTATGAAAGAATCATTTGACCCCCAAAGGGGCCAAGACCCACAGGTTAAGAACCACTGATGTAGTTCCCCCCAAAGGCTTTACTTTCATTAGAGTAAGGCTTCAATAAATCAGTTTTGTGTAGATATAAATACTTAGACCACAGTCTTCATTCTTTTAGATGTTTTCATTTTAAAGGATATAATTTCCTTTGTTGCTAGTTTTTGTGACCAACTCTTAAAATTATCCCATAGACTCATTCATGATTCTTCAGATACATAAAAGGAAATGTACCTGACTTTTAATACTTTGTACTTTTCAATTTCTTTAAAAGTGTTTTTATGTGCCAGGATTCTTTTTTATTTCACTTTTTCACATGAGTTATCAGTTGTCCCAGAACTTTCCATTGCCTGCTCTTTCTTTTCCTACTGATCTCCATAACCAAATCTCTCACATTTTCCACTTCAGTGTCATTCTTGCC